AAGGAATGGACGGGTTTGGACACAGGAGCTGAGATGACAGAACAATCTATACATAAATCACGTGAGAGCACCCACACAGACACACATGCCGACACTGAAGCAGGTGCATATAAACGCACGCATGCCTAAGCACACAACTCAGGGGTGACATAAACACTTATTAGAAGTTAAGAATTATATACTGCTCTAAAAGATTTTTGTGATTTCCACTTCTGAGAGAATTGTTGTGAGTTTCTGATGCAGCATCACAGTTTGTTAAACTGAGTCAAAGGGAGTTGATATCAGTGAAGGATGCCAGAAGCAGCAGTAAACTTTGTCAACCATTCCTTTATCACAGAAGTCAAAACAACATGCACACAGACAGACTCAGTGTCTCCACAAGAACTAGGCTGCACATCACATGTACATGTTGCTGATACGACCTTAAGGACAGATGGTTCAGAAACATGAACTGATTGTATTGGAGCAATAAAAGATGTGCTGTTTCAGTTATTGTGAATGATCCGCACTCTAAAACTCTGTTTCACAGACCTAACTCAGTTGCCCATGTCTCTCTGGTCAAAGCTGAAAATGACAGGTGGGAGAATTTAGGATGAAAAACATGCTGTGAAGCCGGTGGGTGGGAAAAGACATCAGATCAAAATGTTGACTTTCATAGTCAACTGCAGGTATATTGTAAAATATTTTCTGTTGTAGTGAATGCAGTAAGTACTGTTCCAGAAACAGATGTCAAATTTGATAAGAGATGAAAAAAAAAGTCATGACAAACAAATCTTTGTGAAAGACGTCTCTAGATTTCACACCTTCCTGATGATGACCATAAAGCTGGCAGATCTAAACTGCAGTCTGTGTCTGAATGATATTGTTTTGGGTCATGTGATCACTGCAAAGCCCTCTCACCCCAAAGCAAATTGAAGCAATTCAGACCATCCTAAAATGAGAGGCAAAGAAACAGGCAAATTAACTTTTTAGGGATGACAGTGCTCACATTAAGGCACCATGGGCAGAAACCGCACATGGGAAAGGCCTGAGATTTTTTTGTTGATTTAAAGCTGGCTCTTTAATGTCCACCGACCCTCGGTCTACCAGACTATAACAAAACTTTCACTTGACCCTTGACGAGAAGGGGGGTACATGACTTCAGTACTATTACAAGACCACGGGGTCACGACTGAGACCTGTAGCCTATTTTTCATCCAAACCTGACTCTGGCAGCAGCGGAAAAAACAATCATTACATCACGTGACATTGAGGGCTATTTAGATTTGACTTTGTTGGCTCTATATGCAGTATCAATGATTTAAGCTTGAATGAAAAACCTCATCTTTCCACAGCCAGGTGGCTGAGATACAACACTGTGTTGCTAGATATGGCTAACATTACTGTTCAGAGATGCACTGTACTAAATCCTATTGTCCACTGTTCTACTCTCCTCCCAACTCCAGATGAAGGACAGCCTCATGATTGTGTTGCAGTCATAACAGAAGCCTGCTCCCCAAGGGCAGACTTACAGGAGACTCTTCTCCATTTCCACACTCTCTTCGCCCACTATTATGTGCCTCACAGAGCTCAAACACCAGAGTTCCACAAGTGGAGAAAGGCAATGGTGGCTTCCTCCCCTGGTGGGGGACTGTGAACAATGCACATAAGATAGATGGACTGGCTATTGAACTGGAAAACCTGACAGCCCTTGTGGAAGTGGGTTTTTCCACCCTCACACCCACTGTGCAGGGCCTCAGAAATGTGGCTCTGTAGAACAGAATGGCACTGGACCTGATGCTGGCGACTCAAGGCGGAGTTTGCCACATAATTGGAACAGACTGTTGTACATACATCCCAGATGTCTCAGACAGTATGACTCATGCTGTCTCACACCTGAATGATCTACTGCACGAGGAGAAGAGTCAGGACTCAAAGAACATTGGGGGATGGGACATGTGATACTGGGAAAAAAATGTTGACACCACTGTTCATTATTATGGGAGCTTTCCTCCTCCTGACATGTTGTGATTCCTTGTGCTAAATATTTTTTCAAAACCATCTTTGCAAATCACATGAAGTGTATTTGAATTTCTGAGTTAATTTTGATATTAAAGGGTCATATTCTTCATATTTTCAATTAGAAATAATTATAATAATCCACTTTGATTGAGTGTCTATTTCTTATATTCTTACCTAATCACCTATTCTGCAAGTACTGCTAAGGTTACATGAAATGTTTGTATTCTTATGTTTGGTTAGCATAAAATGCTAAAAGGGAATAATGTAATGGGAATTCCAAACATATTGAATGTAACCCTGGACTTAGGGAGACTCATCTGTGCTGTGTAAACCTAACAGTCAAAATATCTCTGTTCTCTGTGTTATCCAGACTTCAGGGACAATGTGTCTCTGTGGGATGATATGATTGCTCCTAAAACTGGATAAATAGCTCTCCTCACTTATTCGAGCACACATGTACATGGCGTATGTGTGTTGCTGTGAGTCCTTCTGCAGAAGACTTGAATAAAACTCACAGAAAGACAGGTGTTTGCCTGAGCTATTTATTTGAAAACTCGAATTGCCATCACACATCATTTCTAAAGGAAGTGTCAGAAAGTGTTGTGAACAAAGCATTGATTACAACATAGACTGAATAGGTCCTTGCTGAAAATTAAACACTGCAAAATTAACTTATTTATATTCTTTTCAACAACAAATAATAACACCAACATGGTAACATAACTACTCAAATGTAGTGGAGACCTAGTCAAGTAACTTTAAAGATTTAATTAAACAAGGTAATGCTTTGAGTTTTGAGGAGACAGCATTCTTTGTTTACACAAAGGAGTTCAGGGCTGTCCCTGGTGTCCTGGAGCGACCTTTCACCTTTTCCTTTGAGTCGCTTCGGCTGTCTGTTGAGGGTTGATAATCCAAACCCCCTCCTCCTTCTCTCAGGGAGAGAGAAAGAATTTGGAGTAGTCCAAACTTATTTGATATAAAATGCGCAAATCCACACTGTTGGTACACTACAATGGTATGGGGTGTGGATAATGCCACAGATAACCTACCAAAGGAGGCCGTCGTGTGACAGCTAAAGTGCAATTTATACTTCTGCGTAACCCCCTACCCTAGCCCTAACCTAGCCTGACGTGGACCTCCCCAAAAATGTAACTACACGTCGAGTCGACGCAGACCGTAAGCTCTGTGATTGGTCGGCTGGGAAGCCTCACAATGCCTCCGAGCTGACAGGAAATGCCTGTGCTTTGAAGTAACTTTTACCGCCAAAACGGCGGCTGTAACACGGTGGAAAAATATATTTGACCGTCACAACCTTATTTCATTATCAGAATATGATCCATTTGGTTGATAACATTTCAGAAGGATATACCAGCCGCACGTTTACAGTTTTACCCCCATTCACATTAGCGGAGGGCTAAACCGGAAGTTAGCCATCTCGGCAGGCAAAAGTCAATACAATCAACGCTGTAGCGCTACTGCAGATTGATGGACATACGGACGCACAAGTATAAATCCATTGCTATGTGCATAGCTACGCTGTAGGCTATGCATGTAGGCCCTATGCAAGAGTATAAATCAAGCTTTAGTGTAACACACAGTAAGGGCCAGATCCATACCACCAGCAAGAGCCGTTCTTCAGATGTGCAAAATCTGTTCCGTCAGTCAGAGAAAGTTACCACAATCTGCCTATTCAAAATGATCCAGCTAAAACAAGATAACAATGTTTTTTAATCACTGGAGATTTAACTGTTCACTATGATGTAATATGATTATATTTTAGATATTAAAAACCTTATTCAACAGTACCTTTTGGGCGGCGCGGTAATGCAGTGGTTAGCACTGTTGCCTCACAGTAAGAAGGTTGAGCGTTCAAACTCCCTGTGTGGAGTTTGCATGTTCTCCCCATGTTCGCGTGGATTCTCTCCGGGTGCTCCGGCTTCCTCCAACCATCCAAAGACATGCAGGCTAGGTTAATTGGTGTTTCTAAAATTGTCCTTAGGTGTGAATGGTGTGAGTGTGAGTGGTTGTTTGTCTATGTGTGGCCCTGCGATGGACTGGCAACCTGTCCAGGGTGCACCCCGCCTTTCGTCCGATGTCAGCTGGGATTGGCTCCAGCCCCCCGCGACCCTGTACGCAGGATAAGCAGTTGATGGTGGATGGATTGAACAGTACGTTTTTCATTTTTAATAATGACAGCAATCTCACAATGTGAACAACATAAAACCCTACAGCTGTGCACATCACAACATGCATACAATTGCTGACTTAGGTTTCGGCACACACCCCGATGGTTAGGGTTAGGATAAGATGCTTTGGGAAGCTGTCAACGCATTTTAAACAAACGTATAACGTAATGCGATAGGCCTAGACAGGGCGTTCAGATGAACCCAGTCTCATACGGACGCCGAAGGGTCCCTTTTGCATTAAATAACGCTAATAAAGCGTAAGTATTTGATGCCCTCAGATGAGAACAGACAACAACACATGAATAATTATGAACAGGCACATTTGCGGTAACCTTCTTTGACAGACAGGACCCCTTTTGCGCATGTGAAGAGCGGCTCTTGCTGGCAGTACGGATATGGTACTTACAGATAGGCTACTGATTATGGAACATCCAAAGTGATAGAACTGAATGAAAGAATAAATAAATAAATGGGGAAATAAATGCAAGAAAGAATGAATGAATAAAAGGATAAATAAATAAATGCGGAAATATATCAAGGAAAGAATGAATGAATAAAATAATAAATAAATAAATGCAGAAATATATCAAAGAAAGAAAGAATGAATAAAAGAATAAATAAATAAATGCAGAAATATATCTAAGAAAGAATGAATGAATAAAAGAATAAATACATACTTTTGCTTTTGCCTTTCCCCAAGGAGACCTATGTGTATTGCTTTTCCCTTAGAGAACTATGTGTATTGCTTTTTCCTTCCTCTTCCTTAACTGTCAATCAACGTGTTGTGGCCCGCCTACTAAGTCCAACTAATCACTCACAGAAGTATTTCTCTCCATGATCAGAGATGTATAAAGGTCTGATACACACTCCATACCAGTTGGTGGCGGTAATGCACCAATTCGTTGTTATACAACTGACAATAAAAGCACAAAGAAGAAGAAGAAGAAGGAAGAAGAAGCTAATGTTAGACAGAACCAGCACATGTCAATGCGATCTAAATGTAGAAGTCCATTTACCGGAGATAACTGTAAGAGAGAGAGGGAGAGGAAGAGGGCGGAGAGGCAGAGGTGTTGGAGGTGCAGTCAGGGCAAGGAGAGGCAGAGGACCTACCTAGAGTGATGGCTCAATAGAGGACGAAGAAAGAGTGGAAGCCCTCCAAAGGAACCCGAGGGCTGTTACCGAGGTTTGTATTTATAAGGTTGTTGTAACGTTATTATATTCTGACCTGTTTGCACTTTATGACAAACCCCAGCACACAGTGATAATGTTATTTACATAGCAGCTCTGTGCACATGTACTGTACTGTGTACATGTACTGAGACAGGTACTGTAACATTAGATAGTAGTAACATGTCATTTACTGGGCAACAATGATTATATGAAGCCATATTATACACTGGCCAGCCTGCAAACCCTAATATGCAGTACCATGTTGCCAACATAATGTCATGCAACTTATAAAGCCTTATTTTATCAGAATCACAAATTCTTTATTGATACCCGAGGGGAAATTCTTGGTCACAACTGCTAAGCTTGCATGTCAATTAAATATAAAAATTATAAAATCTAAATCTAAATAAAGGTAATGTGGACATGTAAAGTAATTTACAGCATCAACAGAAGTGTAATGATAAATAGTAGTAGTGCATTAAATACTAATAGTAATAATGAGTACCGGTATATTTCATTTGGAATGGATACAATCTTGAAAACAACATCGAGGCAGAGTAACCAGAGTATTGAAGCAGAGAATATTGCTTATTGAGTATTTTTCCATGTGTTCTCTTTCTTCAGACTTTTTCAAGAGATGACCCTTGAAGAACACAGAGCTCTCCACCCTTCTGCTGGAGAGGCGGCCAGGCCTGGTCTTTGATGCCTTAATGATGCATCAACGCAGACATGGTGCCCCACCGTCTGCCGGAGTGCCAGGAGTACCTTGGTGTACTTGTGGTAACTGTAGGGAAATGCTGTGGCCAGGAGCAAGTGAACGTCTCGGGTTACGTATGTAACCCTTGTTCCCCCGAGAAGGGGAACGAGACACTGCGTCGGTGATGACACTATGGGAACGCCTCTGGGCCGTAGAGCGACGGACTTAGCTCTCCGTGTGACCAAGGAAATGGCTTGTTCCATCGGCCGATCCATGGCGGCTTTGGTGGTTACGGAGCGCCATCTGTGGCTCAACCTCTCAAGCATCCAGGGGAAGGAGAGGGCTTTTCTCCTGGATGCGCCCCTCTTGCCTACTGGCCTGTTTGGCGAAGCAGTGGATGCTGTCGTCAACAGGTTCCGGCACGCCAAAACTCAGGGAGAGGCATTTGAGCGATATCTCCCCTGCCGGTCAGGACCGCGACGGCTCAGGAAAGGCGGACGCAGCTTTCGTCCAGCACCTACCGCCCCAGCCAGAAGCAGAACGTCGCTTCACGGGATCCCCCTCAACCAACCTGGGATGCAAGATGGCGCTCTCAGCGTCATTCAGTCTCGGCGGGCCTGGGTGAAGAGGTCTTCGAGTAGGGGGACCCACCACCACGACTGGGCTCACAAACTGTGGTTCACCGGCGAGCTTTCCCTGGCCGTCCTCCACTTCAGGGCGCCACTGGGGATTCCCGCGGGACACCGGCCACCAGCCCTGAGGGGCAGGTCCCCTTGGCGAATTTCGCGGAAGCTTGGTGAAGCCTTGCAAACATTTCCCCGTGGGTCCTGCGCACAGGTCATTGACGTACACGTTTTAATCAATAAATCATTTTGATAATGAATGGCACACAACTTCTAATATTATTATACACACACAAGAATCTGATACTTGGACACACTGGTTACATTCTGCATAATTATTTTGACCACATACAACCAAGGGGCGGATTTCTTTCACAAATTTGCACACCATAAAATCATTGTATGACCGTTTATTACTATATTTAGTCATTACATTGTCATAAGATAATCCTCTATCCATATGGTAAAGAAAAAACACACAATGCTGACCGCACACTACAGAATCCACATCTTGCACTTGTCTAACAGAATGTTGCGTGGATTTACAATTACTGTTGAGAAAGACAGAAAAGGATTCAGGAAAATGTGAGTATATCGGAGAGTTCCCAAAACTGTCAAAGAATGATCCCACACCCTGCTTGTCAATATAGATAGCTACCCAGTGTTGTCCTCCCAGGTGGGAGGGGAAAGAAAGACTCCAAGAAAGACACCTTGCTTCACTACCTTATCAAGTACTTTTGACAATTCTATCGTATTCATACTATCGTTTGTTAAAGTTAGAAAAAGTCAATGAGAACCTGTCTTCTTGATGATATCTCAATTATAGAATCATATGTGGCGTAAATAACCGCATTTATTGTGCGTTGAAGTGGATTTCTAAAATGAGCCTCTAATCTAACGCTACCGTTTTTAATGAGCGACAAATGGTCTCCGCATCCTTCATCAGGGCTCAGGTTAAAAAAGTTAAAAAGGTTATGGCCATAGCGTTGTTTTAAGATACTTTCCAGTTGCGGAGTACAATTGATGAAACTCCCTGATGGCATTCCCTCTGGTAAAGTTGGGTTGAAAGGGTTTTGATGGATCTTGTTGGCCGTCAACGTATAAACATAAAAACTCTATATTATAATGGTTTAATGTAAATAGATTACACGCATAACTACCTGTAAATGCCTCATGATCTACAAATCCCACTACAATAAATTTAGGTATTTGTCCCAAGAATGCATTTTCTTGATTACAAACACGAGTGCCCGTTGGGACGCTAAAATTTTTAAGACAGACTCTGTCTATGGGACATTTAATGTTGCCATGCGTTAATGCCTTAGCGTGCGCTGGCTTAACAGCCGTAGATACGGTGACTTTCTTTACAAACAGGCTTGCTGACATAATGTTAACCTGAAAGTTGTCTACAATGTTGCGCATTAAGCAAAATTCTTTTTTAGATCTTATGAATTTTATCTTGAGGTCTACGCCATTTATCATTAACTTGTCTTGAAAAAACAAGTCAGAATGTAAAGGGGATATTAACTCCACTACGCGGCCGCCTTGTGTGTACTCCATTCTTTTAACTAGTCCGTCATTGCATCCTCCAGCCGTTGCGTCGTCTATATGACCTACCTGTATCCATGCAAAATAACTACCCTCTGCAAACTGTGTCTGCAGAGGGTAGTTGATAAAGCCCACTTCGTCTGCTTGATCCAGGTTTCCGCCATTAGCTTTGGTGATTTTTACGTGCAAACGTATTGTTTAGATCTAGGTAGTCCTCTGTACTAGCTGGAATTAAAAATTCAAGGGGTGCAGAGTCTGATACCGCTGCTAGAGGAGGGAAATCGACGTAGATGGAAAGTAGTCTTTAAATGAGGGGCAACAAATGTAAATCCTTTCTTGAATAAGGGGAATGCTAATCTAAACAATCCCCTAAAGATACCCCCTAACCCTACACCATACTGAGCACCGAGGCCGCTGTATCCTGGTAAATCACCATATGCTGTATAATATGCAACGTACTTGTCTGCATTGTGAGCATATGGATGGTACATGTTTGCTCCTTGTCTAATACCGATATTTTACGGGTCGAAAGTGTAGCTTTATTATCACTTTGCCGTACGTAAAAGGGATATGTTGATTCTGATCTGTCTTGAGAGAAATCTCGATACTATCAATGTGTGTTTTGCAGAGCCTCAGATAGTGTGGTCTGTCATAAGTATTTGTGATCATATGGTTGTTTGGACCTGATATATGTACTATTCTTAAAAGAGGGACGTAACTATCCCCTACCGTTTGATGATCAACAATATCGGTATAAACAAATATATTATACATCCCTACGTTAACATGCAGGATGTGGCGCCAAATACGGCATCTGTGTCAACACTGTGTTAGTTTGTGGCTGAGATGTAAATGTTGCAATTCCCTCGTGAGTTTTAAAAGCCGCTCCGGGGATAAATCTCAACATTTGTGCAAGTTTTCCTTGAAACGTTAATTCTACTTCTCTCGTTGGTAAAATGCTTACTCTGTTTGTAATGTTGTTGTAATCAAGCTCAATGTGACCCATGTCGTTTTCAGATAAACAACAACTGTTTAGTTCAGCTATTATCTGTGACATTGTTGTATAGAATCTCTGTGTCGCTGATAGAACTACCCTCTTGTTGGATTTTTTATCAAACACGACAAATTTTGAGTCTTCTGATGAAAACGATTTCCATGTTTTTGGATATTGTATTTCTATCAAACCCACCTCGTATGCTGATTTAAAGTGTAAAGGCTTGGGTAAGTTTGTTCTAAAGTTTGCTATTGTATTGCTCGGGTAAAATAATGCAGACGAGTTGCTGGGCAGGGTGACAAAAAATCCTCTGTATCCATTTATACGTGTGTTTGTAATCTGCTAAGGTAGCTGAATGACCTGTTTTTCCAAAATCCAAGTTAAGTTAAATTTATCTGGCCATCTGACCCATTTGACTAACACCATGTCCCGGCCTTGTCTTTTCTTTCTTTTTAAATGTTATTTTTATCTATAATAACTTTTTGCATCTCTTGCTCGTAAAATGTCCCCTGTAATATTTCGCCGTCATAGTCTTAACCTGTAAACAGGCGGGTTCCTTGACACGCATTCCTTTACAGTGAAATATTCATCAGTATAATTTTGCTTATAACCTTTTTTAAAAGGGCCACGTAGTTTTGAAATTCTTACAGTATCGCCCACCTCATATTTAAAATGAATTACTCTTTTATCTTTTGTTTTATACAAGTTGTTAAATATGATATCTTCATTGTCTTTTGTTACATCAATCATTTTCATTTTAATGCTACGATGACTATGATTGTAGGAGATGACTAAATCTTGCAATATATCTACGTATCGTTTAGAATTATTGGCTGTTAAATAACGCCACATTTTAGATTTCAGAGTCCTGTTAAAACGTTCTACTACAGAGGCCTTCATCTCATTTGATGTGGTAAAGTGTACGAAACTATTAATTTTCATTAACGCCTCGAAATCTTTGTTTAGGAACTCTTTTCCCTCGTCTGTTTGAATTTTATGCGGTATTCCACCTTCAGCTAAGATATCTTTATATCTTAGCTGAAGGTGGTTTCTTTTCCCCAGTTCTTTGCCATAGTCATCAACCCATGAGTTATCATCATCCCGTAGTACTGGAAAATATTTAGGGCTGCTCGATAGACCCTCACCCACTGCACATGTCCTCGTACCTGCACAACACATTTTAATTAGAACAATGTCAACGTCAGCCCCGTCGTGGAGGTCTTGAGGTTGTCTGTGGTGTTGTTTGTTGTTCATCTTGCTTGTCCTCAGGACCAAAAAGTTTTCTTTTGATCCCTACATAGCTAACGTAAGGTTTAGGTCTGAATAATTTATCAATGTGTGAGAAAATTTCAAGGGTTCTATCCCATTCTCCCCACTGGACCACAAAGCCGGTGCTGAACCACGTCTCCCACTCTTTAGACGTGATGGGGTAGCCTTTTTGTTCCTCTGGGGTTCCCATCCTTGCCTTTTGAATGATAGAATCATCCTTGCACGATCTAAAAAAGTGTAAGATGTGGGATTCTGGGTTGTAGACTTCAAGGTCTATATCTACATGATGGAGCTCTCCTGGCACAGACCCGCACCATTGTGTGGTATAGACTCCTTTTGAAGCACTCATATCTTAACAGACTTTGTTTCTGAAGTAATTCCAGTCTTTGGCTGAAAAACTAATGTACGGTGTGCTTTCACAAAAATTTCATCAAGCTCTCTTGTATAAGGATGAACTGTTCCATGCTCAAACAAGAATCCCGACATTATAAAATCTTCCACCGCCCATTCAAACTGAGGCGCCCAGGCCTTTCAGTCCAGAATATTAGCCAATGTTGTTGGGGGAGTCTTCTTTCTGGGAGCCATACTCATTGCAACAGGATCTATAATTATACGTCGTTGTGACGTCCATGATTGTGATGCTGCAAAGATGGCGCTGTTGTTCTGCACGAAGATAGCTCTGTCTGATACGGATTTACCCAAAAAATCGTTCAGTCACACTGTTCCACGCTGTCGGTCAGATGTAAGTCAAAAAACTAGCCCGCTATATATATACAACCGATTGCTAAAGCCACTCCCAAACATCCGCTTTTAGAGGATAACACCGGACATCCCATATACGCAAACCCCCCTTTTCACACCCGACTTCACCTTTTGGTGATCGACCCCCACCACCGCTAATAGAGGATGAGGCTGGACACGCCCTAATACACACACCCATGTCTTTGTTGTTCAACCTTGCTATGACCCCAATCTTTTTTTTTTATTATATTTTTTTTATTTCTTTTTTTTTCATAACATTGTATTTTTTATTAATTTTTTAAAATTATTTTTTTATATAATTTAAAATTATTTTTATTAATCAAAAATGTATTCATGTCCACATGCATGCGCTTTGCTGGCCTTTATTTACTACTTAAAATTAACCAATTCACACTGGCTGATCACTACGCACTTGCCGCCAAGGCGCCGCCGGTCTCCCATCTGCAGTCCCAATCACTCCCATTGAAAAATCCACACGGTCTGGCGGTGACGGCAGGGTAGACTGCTCCTTATCCTGCTCCTAGTGATCTTTGCTTTGGCATTATTCACTCATCATAGAGTACTATCTGTTGGTACTATATACAATGGAAAACAGAGCACGGCCAAACCTGGTACAGATAATAGAAAATGCGTCTCACGTCAAATAACTACGTTTTGCCACTTTTTCTCGTTGGTATTGGATGCCCTAGGAAAAGGACAAACATCCACCTTGGTTATTCAGTGTCAAAGTACAGTAATGCAGTGCTTTGACACTGAATAATATAATAATAATAATATTTTGCACTGGTACTTCTTTTAGTGTAGTTTTTTTTTATTGTGATTAAAGGTTGTGTGTACAAAAGAAAAACCCAACTACTCTGTCTATTCCACAAACTAAACACTCACTCACCTCTAAATTGGTGCACGTAACAGAAATTCAACCAATATGCAGTGAACGTCTCGGGTTACGTATGTAACCCTTGTTCCCCGAGAAGAGGAACGAGACATTGCGTCGGGGACGACACTATGGGAACGCCTCTGGGCGTGGCAGGGCTGAAACATGAATGAAACTACTCCAATCCTATTGGTGTTGCTAGAACGGTAGCGTGTGACGGCGTAACTGGAGGCGTATATAAGCACGCCGGCACACAGGACACATTAGCCCTTTTCTATGAAGCAAGGTACTCCAGGCGGGGTGAGGTGTGGCGGACCGACACAGTTCGAGTTCCCCGAGAAGGGGAACGAGACGACACTATGGGAATGACAATACCCACTTAGGCCGCGCCGAAACCCCGCCTGCCCCCAGCGTGCAGAACCTGACGGCACGACTAAGAGGACAGCGCACGGGTGCCGGGTGCAGAAGGAAGGTCCACACTGTAGAACCGGATGAAGGTGTGAGGGGTGGCCCAGCCAGCCGCATCACACAAATCCTGGAGCGATGCCCCTGCGAGGAGGGCCCTAGAAGCCGCCATGCCTCGAGTAGAGTGCGCCCTTACGGCCACAGGTGAAGGTAACCCGCGCACCTGATAGGGCAGGGAAATAGTCTGAACAATCCAGTTGCTGATCGTGTGTTTGGAAGCTGGGACCCCAGCCTTGGGCGACCCTAAACAAACCAGCAGCGCTTCGAGAACCACCGCCAGGTCCCAGGTGGGAAGCCTGGAATGAGTCACAGGTCTCATCCTCCGTGCTCCACGGAGGAAGCGCACGACCAGTGGATGCCTCCCCAGAGGCCCATCCCTCAGAGGGGTATGGAACGCCACGGCAGCCACATATACCTTGAGTGTGGATGGGGAAAGGCAAGCAGAGAAACGGTCCTGGAGGAACTCCAGCACCATAGTCACCGGGCAGGTAACTGGGTCCACCACTCGTTCTCTGCACCAGGTGGCAAACACATTCCACTGTAGGCCGTACATCCTTCTCGTGGACGGGGCTCTGGAGCTGAGCAGTGTCTCGACTGTTCCTGCCGCAAGGCCCGCATCCAGAAACTGGACCCCGTCAGGGGCCAGACCCACAGTCTCCATAGGGCGGGGCAAGGGTGAAAGACCTGGCCCTGCGCCTGAGACAGCAGGCAAAATTAAGTGTGATAACCACACTCGGGCCGGCCAAAACGGGACTACTAACAGTAGGCTGACACCGTCCTGACAGACCCGCCCCCGGAAGCAGAGCGACAGGGGGAAAGGCATACAGACGCTGCCTCGGCCACGTCTGTACCATGGCATCCAGCCCTAGCGGGGCTGGGGGCGAGAGGGAGAACCACAGAAGACAGTGCGTCATCTCTTGATACGCAAACAAGACCAACAAGGCCCAAGGTCTATGGGGCCGAACTCTTCGCATAATAACTCCACCACCTCGGGGTGGTGTCTCCATTCCCTGGGCCTCAGCCCCTGTCTCGA